CTACCCAGGCTGGTCTTGAACTTCCGGGCTCAAGTTATCCTCCCACCTTGGCCTTCCAAAGTGCTGGGATTATAGGTGTGTGCCACCATGCCGAGTCAGATTATAAATATTTTCAAAGAACAAAATAAACCATATCTAAAGTTTTTTTTTTTTTTTGAGACAAGAGTCTCACTCTGTTGCCCAAAGCTAGAGTGCCATGATGTCAGGCTAGCTCATAGCAACCTCAAACTCCTGGGTTCAAGCAATCCTCCTGCCTCAGCCTCCCGAGTAGCTGTGACTACAGGTGCCCATGACAACACCCAGGTCATTCTTCTATTTTTAGTAGAGACACAGTCTTACTCAGGCTGGTCTCAAACTCCTAAGCTCAAACAATCTTCCTGCCTTGGCCTCCCAGAGTGCTAGGATCACAGGCATGAGCCACTGTGCCATTCCCCTACCTAAAATATTAAAGAAAAGTATAAGAACAAGGTCTCACCAAATGGAGAATATCAATAAAGAGATACTTTATAGAAAAAGGATTAAATAGGAAATCTGAAGTTGAAAAGTACAACTGAAATTAAAAAATGATTATAGGGGTTCAATGACAGATTTGAGCTTGCATTAGATGACAGAGTAAATATGATGACAGGTCAATAGAGATTATCCATTCTGAGAAACAGGGAGAAAAACACAGAAAGGAAAACAAGAGCCTCACAGATCTGTAGGATGCCACCAAGCATATCAAAATATAAACAATGAAGTCCCAGAAGAGTAGGAAGAGAAAGGGCTTAAACTCCTCAAATTTCATGAAACTTATTAATCTACATATTCCCAACATTCAAACAGAATAAACTCAAAGAGATCTACAGTAGGCACACCATGGTGAAATTAACAAAAGCCAAAGATAAAAATAAAATCTTGAAAGTAATAAGTAAAAATGACTTACTGGATGTAAGAAATCCTTAATAAGATCAACAGCTTATTCTTATCAGAGACCATGCAGGCCAGACGACAGTATTATAGTATCTTCAAAATGTTAAAGAAAAGGACTGTCAAGAGGAGTGCAATGACTCACACCTGTAATTCTAGAACTTTGACAGTCTGAGATGAGTAGACTGCTTGAGATCAGGAGTTCGAGACTAGTCTGAGAAAGAGCAAGACACTGTCTCCAAAATGAGCCAGGTACTATGGGTACCTGTAGTTCCAGCTACTTGGGAGGCTGAGGTGAGAGGATCACTTGAGCCCAAGAGTTTGAGGTTGCTGTGAGCTATGACACATGGCATGCTATCCAGAGCAACACAGTAAGACTCTGTCTACAAAAAAAAAAAAAAAAAGAAAGAAAGAAAGAAAGAAAGAAAAGAAAAGAAAAAGAAAAAGACTCAACTGAGAACTCTATATCCAACTATATTTCCCTTTGAAAATGAAATAGAAGTTAAGATAAACAAAAACAGAGAGAATTTGTTACTACCAGACCTATCCTACAAGACACACTAATTTCAGGGTGAGATTATAGGGTTAAATAGTAAGAAAAGGTAACTATACAGGTATTATGAAAGCAATTTTTTTGTAACTCTTTTATTCAATTGTTTCTTGGGCTTTTGGCCAAGATCAAGTGTAATTTTTTTATTCTCCTTTTTATTTTAAATAAAAATTGCATAAAGTAATAATACAATTGTGTCAATGGACTTATAATTTATAAAGAAATAATTTTATGATAATACTACAAAGAAGATGGGAGAGAATAGAGATATCTTAGAGCAAAGCTTTTATATACAGTCACATGTCGCTCAATGACAAGAATATGTTCTGAGAAATGTGTCATTAGGCCATTCATGAGTAATGAAAACATTCAACAAATTAGAAGCAGAAGGGAACTTCAACTTGATAAAGGGTATCTACATAAAACCCACAGCTCATCATAGTTAATCAAGAACGATTCACTACTTTCCCCTTGAGATCAGGAGCAAGACGAGGGTGTCTGTTCCATCACTTCTAGTCAATGCTATTCTAGAAGTTCTAGCCAGGACAATTAGGCAAGAAAGAAAAATAACAAGCATCCATATAGGAAAGGAAAAAGTAAAACTATCTCTATTTGTACGTTATATGATCTTGTATATAAAAAAATCCTAAAGAATACACCAAACCTATTTGAACTAATAAACAAGTTCAGCAATGTGGCATAACAGAAGATCAATAAACAAAAATTAATTATATTTCTATATACTACCAATGAGCAATCAAACAATGAAATTAAGAAAGAAATCCCATTTATAATAGCATCAAAAAGAATAAAATACCTCGGAGTAACTTTATGCTGAAAATGCCAAAACACTCATGAAAGAAATTTAAGATCTAAATAAATAGAAAAACATTCCCTATTCACAGATTAGAAGAGAACATTGTTAAATGGCAATACTCCCAAAATTGATATGTATAATTTGACACAGTTCCTATAAAATTTATAACTTTTTAAAAATAAATTGACAAGCAGACTCTAAAATTCATATGGAAATGTGAGGATAGTCAAAACAATCTTGAAAAAGAACGAAGTTAGTGGAGTCTCACTTCCTAATTTCAAAACGGATTGCTACAGTAATCAACACATCATGGTCTGGCATAGGGACAGACATAAAGGTAAATGGAATAGAACTGAGAGTCCAGAAATTAACTACTACATTTTATATGATTTATGGTCATTCTTTGTCTTGTTTTTAGAGATGGGGGCCTTGCTGTGTTGCCCAGGCTGGCTTCAAACTCCTGAGATGAAGAGATCCTCCCATCTCAGATGGGAATACTGCACCCAGCCTATGGTCAATTGATTTTGACGAGGTTGCCAAGACAATCTAATAGAAAAATGAATATTTTTTTCAACAAATGGTTGAAAATGGGAGGCTAAGGAGACATGACAACTAAAATGCAATGTGGGAGCATGAATTGGATCCTAGAAGATAAAAACAATATTAGTGGAAAAAAGAATGAAATCTGAGTAAGTTCTGTACTTTTGTTAATAGTACATGCACACCTCATTTTATTGTACTTCACTTTATTGTGCTTTGCAGATAATGTGTTATTTTACAAATTGAGTTTTTTGGAAACACTGTATTGAGCAAATTTATCATTGCCATTTTTTCAATAGCATGTGTTCACTTAATGTCTGTCTCACAAATTTTACAGTGTTGCAAACTCTTTCACATTTTATCTCTCCTGATAATCTGTGATCAGTGAGCTTTGATGTTACTATTGTAATTTTGAGGGCACCACAAGCTGCACCCATATGATGGTGAACTTAATTTAATAAATATTGTGTGTTTTGACAGCTCCACTAACTGGTCATTTTCTGTCTCTCTCCCTCTCTTCAGGCTTCCCTATACCCAGAAACTGAACAATATTGAAATTAGGCCAATTAATCACCCTACAATAATGGCCTTTAAGTGTTCAAAGGAAAGGAAAAATCACATGCCTTTCACTTTAAATCAAAGGCTAAAAATGATTAAGGTAATTGAGGAAGGCATGGCAACTGAGATAGGCTGAAAGCTAGGCCTCTTGAGCCAGTTAGACAAGTTGTGAAGGCAAAGGAAAAGTTCTTGAAGGAAATTAAAAGTGTTATTCCAGTGAACAAATGAATGATAAGAAAGTAAAGCAGACTTATTGCTGATAAGGACAAAGTTTTGATGGTCTGGCAGGATCAGACCAGCCACATCATTCCTTAAGCCAAAGCCTAATTGAGAGCAAAGTCCTAACTCTTTTCAATTCTATGAAGGCAGAAAGAAGTAAGGAAGCTGCAGAAGAAAAGTTAGAAGCTAGCAGATGTTGGTTCATGAAAGTTTAAGGAAAGAAGCTATCTCTATAACATAAAAGTACAAGGTAAAGCAGCAAGTGCTGATGTAGAAGATGCAGCAAGTTATCCAGAATACCTAGCTAATATAACTGATAAAGGTGGCTATACTGAACAACAGATTTTCCACATACAGTGGAAACCACAACCTCTATAGTTGGCCACCTCCCTACATTGACAATCTACTTAAATTGACCTGATTGCCATAAACCCGACATGCACCACACATATGTTATCAGTACAGTAGGCCTAGTTCCTTGTGTTGAGCAATTTGTTATAGTCTCTTGAGTGGTCAACTTACAGAGGTTCTACTCTATATGAAACAGCCTTCTATCAGAAAAAGATGTTATCTAAGACTTTCATAGCTAGAGATGAAAAGTCAATGCCTGGCTTCAAAGCTTCAATGGACAGGCTGACTTGCCTGCTAGGGGCTAACGGAACTGGTGAGTTGAAGCCAATGTTCATTTACCATTCTGAACATCCTAGGGTCCTTAAGAATTATGCTAAATCTACTCTGCCTATGTTCCATAAATGGAACAACAAAACCTGGATGACAGCACATTAGCATGGTTAACTGACTATTTTAAACTCACTGTTGAGACCTACTGCTCAGAAAAAAAAAAAAAGATTCCTTTTGGAAATATTACCACTCATTGACAATGCACCTGGTCACCCAAGATTTCTAATGGAAGTGTACAAGGATATTCATGTTGGTTTCATGCGTATTAACACAATATCCATTCTGTAGTTCATGGATCCGGGAGTAATTTTGACTTTCAAGTTTTCTTTCTTTTCCTGTGAGGTGGAGTCTTACTCCATCAAACAGGCTAGTACTGTGGTGTCAAGCCTAGCTCACAGTAATCTCAAATTCATGGGTTCAAGTGATCCTCCTGTCTCAGCTTCCCAAGTGGCTGGGAATATAAGCACCTGCCACAATGCCTGGCTAACTTTTCTATTTTTAGTAGAGCCAATGTCTTGCTTTGCTCAGGCTGGTCTCCTGAGTTCAAGGGATTCTCCCACCTTGGCCTCCCAGAGTGCTAGGATTACAGGCATGAGCCACCACATCAGGCCTCAAGTATTACTATTTAAGAAATACATTTCATAAGGCTATCCCTGTCATAGGTAGTGATTCTTCTGGGCAAAGTAAATTGAAAATCTTCTGAAAGGACTCACCATTCTAGAAGCCATTAAGAACATTTGTGATTCATGGAAGGAGGTCAAAATATTGAAATTAACAGGTGTTTCGAAGAAGTCGATTCCATTGCTCATGAATGACTTTGAGGGGTTCAATACTTCAGTAGAGGATGCAACTGCAGAGGTAGTAGAAGACAATGAGAATTAGAAGTGGAGCCTGGGCTGGACCAATGGCTTACATCGGTAATCCTAACACTCTGGGAGGCCGAGGTGGGTGGATTGTTTGAGCTCTGGACTTTGAGACCAGCCCGAGTAAGAGCAAGACCCTGTCCCTACTAAAAATAGAAAAACTAGCAGGGCATCATAGTGGATGCCTGTAGTCCCAGCTACTCTGGAGGCTGATGCAAGAGGATCTCTTAAGCCCAAGAGTTTGAGGTTGCTGTGAGCTATGATGACATCCTGGCACTGTACCCAGGGTGACAGAGTAAGACTCTGGATCTCAAAAAGAAAATGAAAGAAAGAAATAATGAAGTGGAGCCTGAAGACGTGACTGAATTTGAACTGCTGCAATCTCATGATGAAATGTGAATAGATGAGGAGTTGCTTCTTATGGATGAACAAAGGAAGTGGTTTCTTGAGATGGAATCTATTCCTGGTGAAGAGGCTGTGAATATTGCTGAAATGACAACAAATGATTTAGAATATTACATAAACTTAGTTGATAAAGGAGCAGCAGTGTTTGAGAGGACTGATGAGGTCTGATTCTAATTTCAAAAGAAGTTACACTATGGGTAAAATGCTATTAAACAGTATTATGTGCTATAGAGTTTCATAAAATGAAAAGTCAATCAATGAGGCAAACTTTATTATGTCATCATTATCTTTATTTATATATATATATTTTGAGACAGAGCCTCAAGCTGTCCGCCTGGGTAGAGTGCTGTGGCATCACAGCTCACAGCAACCTCCAAATCCTGGGCTCAAGCGAGTCTCCTATCTCTGCCTCCCAAGCAGCTGGGACCACAGGCACCTGCTACAACGCCTGGCTGTTTTTTTTTGTTGTTGTTGTTGCAGCCATCATTGTTGTTTGGTGGGCCAGGCTGGATTCAAACCCATCACCTTAGGTGTATGTGGCTGACACCTTAGCCACTTGAGCCACAGGTGCTGAGCCTTTATTTATATTTTGGATGAAGGGCCTTCATATGTTGCCTGAGCTAGAATATAGTGGTCACATCATAGCTCACTGTAACCTCAAACTCCTAGGCTCAAGCAATTCTCCTGCCTCAGCCTCCTAAGTAGCTAGGACTATAGGCATATGCCACCATGCCAGATTAATTTATTTTTTGTAGAGACAGGGGTCTCACTGTGTTGTCCAGGCTTACCTCTAACTCCTAGCCTCAAGTGGTCCTCCTGTATTGGCTTCCCAAAGTGCTAGGATTATAGGCATGAGCCACAGTGCCTGAACTCACTGTTTGAAATTGCCACAGACACTCCAGCCTTCAAAAATCAGCAAACATCACTCTGATTAGTCAGCAATAATTATAAAAGCAGGCCCCTTCACCGGCAGAAAGATTACACTTCACTGAAGGCTCATTGACATTTTTTTTTTTTTTTGAGACAGAGTCTCACTTTGTCACCCTGGGTAGAGTGCCATGGTGTTGTAGCTCAGAGTAACCTCAAACTTCTGAGTTCAAGTGATCCTCTTGCCTCAGCCTCCCAAGTAGCTGGGACTACAGGTGCCCACCACACCACTCGGCTAATTTTTTAGATGTGGGGGTCTCATTCTTGCTCAGGCTGGTCTCGAACTTGTAAGCTCAAGCAATCCACCTGCTTCAGCTTCCAGAGTGCTAGATTAAAGGTGTGAGCCACTGTGCCCAGCCAACATTTTTTATTAATAACATGTTTTTAAGTATAAGGCTATTATACTCTTGCGGGGGTACAGAGCCTTTTCTTTTTTTCCTGTTACACAATGGAAGAAGAGTTGTCTTGGGCCACGTATTTTTTTTTTTTTTTGAGACAGAGTCTCACTTTGTCACCCTAGGTAGAATGCCAAGGTGTCATAGCTAAAAGCAACCTCAAACTCCTGGGTTCAACAATCCTTTTGCCTCAGCCTCCTGAGTAGCTGGGATTACAGGTGGCTACCACAAAGGCTGGCTAGATTTCCTCTTTTTAGTAGAGATGGGGGTCTAGGTCTTGCTTAGGTTGGTATTGAACTCCTAAGCTCGAGCAATCCACCTGCCTCAGCCTCCCATAGTGCTAGGATTATGGCATGAGCCACTGCACCTGGCCTTGAGCCACTAATTAAACACACAAACACTAACGAAAGATGATGAGCGTAAAAAAGGTCCGTGCATAATTTTTGCAATATCTGAAAACACAGATAAGCAAAACAGGCCTCAAATAATCCCTATGCAGCCCACAGGCCATAGGTTAGACACCTCCAACAGTATGTACACTGGGAAACCAAAAAATTTATGTGACTTGCTTTATTATGTTGGTCTAGAACCAAACCTGCAAAATCTCTGAGGTATGCCTGTATTGCAATTAAGTTTTTAATTGATACTTAAAATGTAGTTATAGAGTTTCTTAACATTTGGGGAATTTGAGTGAAAGATATATGGGAATTCTTTGTATAATTTTTACAAGTTTTTTTAAAGTTTGAAATTATTTTTTAAAAAAGTTTTAAAATTCTAAAAACAAAAAAGTTTGTTTAAAAAGGAGAGAAAGCATCTGGCAAGGGCAATTTAGGGCAAGAATACCTATACCACCTCTCAGTCTGGTATAGGGGTATGAGGGAGCTGCTAGGGGAACAGAATGTTCAGGAGAAAGCCAGATCATTATTCAAGCAGTGGTTCTCAGTGGGGGTGCTAGAGGTGATATTGGACAGTTAAGGGGTGCTGGGGACATTTTTGTCACAATAATTGGAGATCATTAGTGATATTTAGCATGGACCAGGTATGCTCAACTTCCTACAGCTCCACACAACAAGAAATTATATACCACATCCCATATAACTTTTTTGGGGGGACAGAGTCTCACTTTGTCACCATGCATAGAGTGCCATGGCATCATAGCTCATAGCAACCTCAAACTCTTGGGCTCAAGAGATCCTCTTGCCTCAGTTTTTCATTTTTAGTAGAGACAGGGTCTCGTTCTTGCTCAAATTGGTTTCAAACTCACGAGTTCAAGCAATCCACCTGCCACGGCCTCCCAGAGGATTAGAGGCATGAGCCACCTTGCCTGGCACATCCTGTATAGCTTTATAAAAAACGTTTTTCTTTTCATTTTTTTTTGTTTTATCTTTTTTTCTTTCTTATCCTAGCCACTAAACTGTGAAGGACCATACAACTTTAGAATATCCCACCAGACAGTCACATTGGTGAAAAACCAGTTCACCTATCCCTTTATTTATTCACGAAACATTTACTGAGAAAGTCTACTATGTGCCAAGCACTGTTTTAGGTAATAGGTATACAAGAGGGAACAAAAAGGATAAAAACCCCTGATCTTCTGAAGCTTACAACTGAGTGGGAGAGTCAGACAATAAACAACAAACATAATAAAGAGGCAAATGATATATTACGTAAGACTATAAAGAGTACTATGAAATATGTAGAGCAGGGTCATGTTAGGGGACAGCTGTAATTTTATTCTTTTTTATTTTTACTTTTTAGAAGGTCATAACCTCACTTTATTTATTTTTTAATTTTTACATATACATGTGTTTACTAAGTTTCCACTTTTTGCCTTCACAAAATCAAAAAGGCTTAAAATTTAACAACAATAACAATGTTTAAGATAAGGACTAGAAATAAAAACCTCATAAAGAATGAATGAAGATAAGTACATTCATAAAAGAAATCAGACGATTGCTGCAATGAAGTACTAAGCAATAATAGTAGTAATGCAAAGAAAGTAACATTCGCATTGTCAAATATTGTCTATTATTGAATGCTTTGACTCTGATCTGTTTTTTGAAATTATCTTTTATTTTTATTTATAAATATTAGTTGTCTATTTTTTGAGACGTTGGGAAAAAATAATAAGAAGAAATTAATTGATGACTCTATACTGAACCTCAGAGAGTTGTAATTTTAAACAGGATGAACAGGGTAGCCCTCTGAGAAAGCAACATCTGAGTAGAAGTCTGAAAGAAGTACCAGCATGAGCACTGTACATATTCAGGAAAGACTATTTCAGAGGCCAAGGAGGTCAAGACCAGCCTGAGCAAGAGCGAGAACCCATCTCTATTAAAAAAAGAAAAAAAATAGAAAAATTAGCTGGGTGTTGTGGGGGGGCACTTGTAGTCCCAGCTACTGGTGAGGCTGAGGCAAGAGGATAGCTTAAGCCTTGGAATTTGAGGTTGCTGTGAGCTATGATGACGCCCCTGCATTCTACCCAGTGCAACAGAATAAGACTCTGTCTTAAAAAAAAAAATAAGGAGGCCAGAATAGGTGAAACAGAGTGAGCAAGGGAAGACAGTGGTAAGAGAGAAAGAGAAATTAGGAGGCCAGATCATGGATACATGTATTAATATATAATGACTTCTTCAGAAGTTCAACAACCATACAAATTGAAGGAAGACTTCACATTGTTTTGTTTAGAACTTTATGAGGGACTATTCATCATTTAGGAAAACTGCATCAATTTACCTGTGGCTCCTGTTACCAATCAACACATATGTAGCTGTCATATTCATAGATGCAAATATCATTATATAAAAGACCATTTCATTATGTCCTTTAGTAGAGTTATATTCCAGTCTTTATATACTGAAATATTATATTTTATTATAAACTAATCTTCCCTTACTCCTTCCTTATGTTATGATTAAGGCATTATATTAGTTTTCAGTGAATTATGTGTGTTGATAGATTCTATTTTCTATGCTCTTCATTTCAGAATAGTGATGCATTTCAAAATATGCCTTATAAAAGTGGAGTGTTGGGTCCAATAGATATAAGAACAACCAAAGCATAGCAAGAAAATGAAGGGAGTATTCAGAAGCCAGGATGAAAATGGAGGATGGAGGAGATTTTTCTGATGACAACGTGAGTTCCAGAAGGCCTGGTCAGAGGATTTCAGGATGGAGAGAAAAAGGAGGATGTCCAGGGCTGTATGATGATGTAATCAGGAGATCTCTAGGTTTTTTGTGGTGACTAACATTTCATAGGATAAAGGGCCATTAAAAAGTGGTTTTTAATCTAAACTGTTCCCACCCTGAGTATCTCTACCTGTTTATCAGAGCAGGCTGGGGAACAAATAGAGTTCTCTCCTCAATCAGACCAGAAGCAGCCTGAAGCCAGACTCCAATTTTTACCCATGGAACATGTGGGAGACTCCAGTTAAGTACATAGGTACCCTCAGGCCAAACTTGTTGCTATAGACAATACAATCAGGCCAAGCTCATTGTTATAAACAATACAGCTCTATCTACTTTGTCCTCTATCTTTAACAAGAGTTAAATAACGTACATTAACAGAGAAAGACAAAAGCATTTAGAAAGATTCAAAGAAGGAAGAGTCAGAGAAGGTAAGAAACAAAAAAATCAATTGGAGCAATATTCTTTTCAATCAGGACAGTCATTATTTATTAAAAATTTTCGCAGGGTTGGGTGCTGGGCAAAGTGACACACATGCATTGTCTCAGGTAGAGTGTTAGACTCCATTTGACAGATGAGAAAACTGAGGTACTGATGGGTGAAACAGATGGCTCAAGGTGTCCTAGCTAGTTTTAACTGGCTGGGTCAGGATTAAGCCTCTGTGCCAGGGATGTCTAGTATGTCTGAGAGGTAAACAGACAGAAAGAGACTGGCTGGGAGGGAGGGGATTACCGAGACAGATAAGCAGGCAGATGATCACGTGAGCGGCAGACCAGCACTGACTGGTTTCCAAAGACACTGAAGAGGGGGGCGCGGTGGGCGGGCACAGGTGCTCCGCAGGGTACTCACCTGGCCGCTGTCTAGGGCCACGGGAGCATTAAGTCTCCCTTTTCTATCTGCGAGATCCTCCGCAACCCGCTGACCTAGGGTTGAGAGGAGGCCCAGGTAAAAGCAGCTAGCCCAGGCCCCACCCCTCACGCGCTCGCGCTCAGCCTTTTCCCTCCACCACTCTCCCTAACCCAGTCTTTACAGCTTCTCACCCGACACCTCTAGTTATCCGCGTCGCTACTCCCAGGCGCAAACAGATACTAAGGACCGGCAGCAAGATCTTGAGAATACACTGGACAAGTCCCTCCCGCCAGCGGGAGCGCCAGCCGGGCCACAGGCCTACGCCGCTACTGACGGCTTCCGAGCTCCCATTGGAGGAATGCCCTCCCGCATTCCCTAGGATTGGCTGGAGAGGGAAACACTTTACTTTTACCCCCAGACTTGGCTCCCAGCCGGAGAAAACTCCTCTCATCTGGGGGACTCACATAGGTTTACCTGCGAAGCCCACCTTTTAATGGGATTGGTCAGGAAAGGAGCGTTTGTCATTGCCTTTTGCTGGTCTATTCGACTCCCTTTAGGGGTTAGTTAGGAACGCGCAGGCGCGAAGCCTGAAGCCAGGCCAGGCGCTAGTCACCCGATAATTCGAGATCCCAGGCTTTCTTTCTTTCTTTCTTTTTTTTTTTTGCAGTTTTTGGCCGGGGCTGGGTTTGAACCTGCCACCTCTGGCATATGGGGCCGGCGCCTTATTCCTTTGAGTCACAGGCGCTGCCCGAGCTTTCTGATTTCTTACTCTAAGTAAACCGTCCTGCACTTTTCACAGCTTTGCTAAGAGGCAGGGCTCTGCCTCCAGTCGTCTACACGTCTACAGGGACTTCTGAGCTAGGTTTCTCGTGCTCAAAGACAGCGGAGTTCCTAAGTACATACATGGAGGACTAGCCCTTGGGTACGTAACTGAGACATTTGTCACGTGACTGCCTCGCTAAGAGCCTCAGTTTAACCATCTGTGAAATGGAAAGATATTTAATTTTTTTCTCCCAATGCTGTGAGGTTTAAATGAAAGAACATCTTGCCTTTTCCTGTGTTCAGGTGAAGGAACTATGGCTCAGAGAAGCAAACTAATTGGCTTGAAGTCACACGGCAATAAAAACCAGAATAAAACCCAGGTTTTCGTCTTCCGAAAGAAAGCTGTTTAAGGAAGAAGAGGGTGGCGCCTGTGGCTCAAAGGAGTGGGGCGCCGGCCCCATATACTGGAGGCGGCGGGTTCAAACCCAGCCCCGGCCAAAAAAAAAAAAAAAAAACCTAAAAAAAAAAAAGAAGGAAGGAGAGAGGCTTGAAGCCTTGGTTACGGCGCCAGCCACATACACCCAGGCTGTTGGGTTCAAACCCAGCCTGGGTCAGCTAAACAATGACAAGCGCAACAAAAAATGTCCGGGCAGTGTGGCGGGTTGCCCGTGGTCCCAGCTACTCAGGAGGCTGCGGCAAGAGAATCGCTTAAGGAAGGAGAGAGGGGAAGGGCCCTCCAGGACCCTCCTATTAGTAGAGGTTACTAATTTGGTTTGCACAGACCTCCAGTTGAGTCTGGGACAGGGTTTGCACAGACCTCCAGTTGACTCTGGGACAGGCTTTGGAGGGGTCCATGAATTTGGAGGGGAACAAATTTACATCTTTATATTCTCTCTCCTCTAACTGAAATTTAGTGGGTTTTTTTTGTTGTTGTTGTTTGTTTTGAGACAGAGTCTCACTTTGTCACCCTCTGTAGAGTGCTGTGAAGACATAGCTCATAGCAACCTCAAGCTCTTGGGCTTAAATGATACTCTTGCCTCAGCCTCACAGGTCGCTGGGACTATAGACCCCCACCATAAGGCCTGGCTATTTTTAGAGACAGGGCTGGTTCTTGCTCCGGCTGGTCTCTAACTCCTGAGCTTAGGCAATCCACCCACCTCTGCTTCCCAGAGTGCTAGGATTACAGGCATGAGCTACTGCACCTGGCTGACATTTTAGTGCTTTTTAAAAAATAAATAATGTAAAACTCAACTAACTATAATAGTAGTAGCAGTATTGGTTATTGCCACCGAAAGAAATCAGAGATTTTTCACATCACATTGTAGATGTAGCAGATCTCTTGAAATATCATATAATCTCATAACTATTTTGAAATCATGACAGTCATCAGACCCTCCATTAGATTTCATGGCTTAATAGATTAATGGGGAGCACATATATTGCTATAGCATGTATTTGCTTTTTCCATATTTCAATAACTATTTCAATATAATCAATTCCCTTTGTAATTCTATGTATTTTATTTTATGAATTTAAAAGATTCTTTTTCTGGCTTGGCGCCTGTGGCTCAAGTGGCTAAGGTGCCAGCCATGTACACCCAAGGTGGCGGGTTTGAATCCAGCCTGGGCCCGCCAAACAACAATGATGGCTGCAACCAAAAAATAGCCAGGCGTTGTGGCGGGCGCCTGTGGTCCCAGCTACTTGGGAGGCGCAGGCAGGAGACTCGCTTGAGCTCAGGAGTTGGAGGTTGCTATGAGCTGAGATGCCACGGCACTGTACCCAGGCGGACAGCTTGAGGCTCCTGTCTCAAAAAAAAAAAAAAAAAAAAAGATAAAGATTCTTTTTCTGAGCAAAAGTCCATAGGCTTCACTAGATCACCAAAGGGGTTTACATGGCACAAAAATGTTAATATTTGTCTTGGCTGGGCGCAGAGGCTCATATCTGTAATCCTAGCACTCTGGGATGCCAAGGTAGGAAGACTGCTTGAGCTCAGGGGTTCAAGACCACCCTGAGCAAGAGCAAGAACCCATCTCTACTAAAAATAGAAAAACTACCCAGGTGTTGAGGTGGGTGCCTGTGGTCCCAGCTACTTGGGAGGCTGAGGCAAGAGGATCACTTGAGCCCAAGAGTTTTGAGGTTACTGTGAGCTAGGATGATTCCACAGCACGCTGCCCAGAGTGACGGAGTAAGACTCTGTCTCAAAAAAGGGGAGGGGGATAATTGTCTTGAACCCTAAGTAAGCTTCAGGAAGACAAAGATTTGGTCTATCTTGTTTTCTTGTGTTATCACTTCCACCCAGTTCAGTATCAGGCACACAGTATGTGCTCAGTGAGTGTTTACTGAGTGAATAAAAGGATTCCTCCCCAAACATCTTGCACAGTCCCAAGTGAGGGAGCCAGTGGTGGCCCTTTTGGTCACCTAAGGAGGTGGGCATTCCTGAATCTACTTTTGTCCTTGCTTCTCTTCATGGAAATGGGTGGCACTTTAAAGGTCTGGCCCCAGGAGATCTTGGGAACCTCATGCCCAGGATTAGGGCCCTTGGCTGCAGAGGAGCAGAGTAAGTTATGAAGGATGTGAAGACAAGTAGTTTTAGCATGGAAACAGGTCCTGGGGGTACATTGGGTCTTTGACTCCTTATCTACCTCCTGGTTTTGTTTAAGGTCCCCGCAAAAGGGGCTTGTCTTCTCTGTTCTTCAGTGAAGACTATATCTTGGAACTAGCTGTGACCTTAAAGACATCTTTGAACAGCCTTCCCTTTTGGAGATCCAGACTGAGGAGTGAGGGCACAGAGAACAAGATGCCACTTTAGGCAGAGAACATCCTTTCTCCCATGCCTCAGCACAGGACATGAGCACTGGGCCAACTATGTGAATGCTATAATTGGCTTCTAAAAGTATTCCTGAAGATAAAGACCAGATGACCTCTCTGAAAAGGTGGGTGAAGAGGAGTCTCAAATCCCAGGATAGGCAGCTGAGGATTTAACTGGAGGGACAGAGAAGCATTAGGAAATAGTATGATGGAGGCCAGACTTCAGAGATCAGCTTCAAGGCTAGGTTCTATCTTGGAACCTTAGGTAGGTTGCTTCTCCTGGGTGATCCCCCAATATAAATAGGTTAAGTTTGTAGATGGGGAAATTGAGGCCCTCTACAAAGGATGAGGAGAGTCACATGAGGTAAGGCAGATTGAGGCAAGAGTAACCAGGCTGGCTACCTCTGAATGCCCGAGATCATCTGGTCATGTTGACTTCTTCCTGGCTTACTCCAGGGCCTCTGCCTCTGCTGTTTTTCCCTCCCTTCCTCTTTACCTCACACTTATTAGGACTGGCTCCAGATATCGTACATGTATATCTCTTTCCTCCGCACAAGATGCCTTGATATAGGATACTGCATTCTCAGCTCTGGCCCTGAGGTATTTCATTACCTTGGGCAAGATAGTTCCTTTTCTGAGCCTCAGTCCTCTCCCCACCTGTGAAGATATGATTCAAGGTCAGAACTAGAGGCATCAAAACCTCCACCTTTTCCCCAAAACATTTATCAGAATCATGGAGATTTATGGAGATTTTAGAGATTTATGTCCAAGATCTGATGTTTCAACCATTTCACAGAGGAGGTACAGAGAGGGAAGGAACCTTGTCAAAAGTCTCACATGAACCAAGTAGTCATCTTGACTCCTCTCAATTCGTCTCCTATAACTAAAGCCTGTTGAGTCCAATATCTTAAAAGCTTTCATAGAATAGGCAAATTTCTTTCTCTTCCTTTTTTCATGTGAAATGTTTTAACAATCATCTTCATATTAATCTGTAGAACACAGATTTAAACACAAACTTCTAAAAATATGGAATGATTCATGAATTTTTGTGTTATCCTTATGCAGGGGCCATGGCAATCTTATTTGTATCATTCCAATTTTAGTATGTGTGCTGTGGAAATGAGCACAAATAGACATGCAGAAGAATTACAATTAATTTATGTAGATATTTCCCTCTCAAGGAAATGGAGAATAACTCCTCACTCCCTAAACATGGGCTTTGCCTAATTAGTTTCTTTCCAAAGAGTACAGCATGGAAAATGTGGGAAAGGAGTAACTTTACAGTGGAGAAACTTGACAGACACTACCTCAGCGAGGTGAGAATGGCATTTGACTTCTATGGCCTTCTTTCCTCAAATCCAAACCCCAGGTTTAATCACCAGAAAACACCAGACATATCTCCATTAAGTGACATTCTACAAAATACCTGATCAGTACTCCTCAAATGTTGACTCCAAGTCATCAAAAACAAGGACAGTCTGAGAAAGTGTCATAGCCAAGAAGAGCCTAAGGAGACAAGATGATTAAATGTAGCATGGTGTTCTGGATGAGAACCTGGAACAACTTTAGGGCCAGGCCTAGTGGCTCATGCCTGCAATCCTAGCATGCTGGGAGGTTGAAGTAAGTGGATTGCCTAAGCTCAGGAATTAAAGACCAGGAGTTAAAGAATACCTCCCAGCAAGAGGGAGACCCTGTCTCTACCAAAAAAAAAAAAATAGACAAACTAGCCTAGCATTGTGGCACACACCTGTACTCCCAGCTACTTGAGAGGCTGAGGCAAGAGGATCTCTTGATCCCAAGAGCTTGAGGTTGCTGTGAACAATGGTGCCTCAGCACTCTCCCCAGGGCCCAGGGTGACAGAGTGAGACTATGTCTCCCAAAGAAAAGAAAAGAAAAGAAAAGAAAAGAAAAGGGAAATTAGGTTAATACAAGGAAATCTGGATAAAGTATAGATTTTCCTTGGTTAATAATAATGTATGATACTGGTTCATTAATTGTGACAAATGTGTCACACTAATGTAAAATGTTAATAATATGGGAAACTGGTGGTGGGCCATCTGGGATTTCCCTGTGTTATCATCACAATAATTCCATAAATTTAAAACTGTTCTGAAATTAAAAGTTTATTGAGAAAATAACTCTTCCATATCTACCCCCAATCATTTTACTTTCACCCAAGGTCTAGCGTCCACTACCTCACTGTTCTCCCTCCAATCTTTTCTCCTGGCAGGCAGCAGAGGGCACTCTCTAAAATGCAAATTCGACCTTATCTGAAGCCTTCCAGCAAAATAAAGGCCTTGGATGGAAACTTCGGGAGGTATATTGTAAAAGACTGACTTGGATGTCTGTATTAAAGTTATCTTTATGATCCAGAACGAATTTGGTTCTGATCCAGAACTTCTACTGTCCGTTGAAATAAAATTACCGTATCCAAAATTTAATACAATTCAGCTCTTCCTTTGTCCAACTCTCGACCTCCCCAACCTGTAATAGTAGTAATTTCGCTTTGTTTTTCCTTTATCTCTATGAACACTCCTCGGTCTAAGCCATCTTTTTCTGCCTTCTCCCCTAGACCTAGTTCCAGAGATATCCCTCCCAAGAGAGATCCTGCAACCCCCCCCCCCACCAAAGAGAGCGCTCCTACGTGATTGGGTTGTGATGTTAGGATCAACCTCTTTATTTTTTCTAAATAGGAATGCGAAAAATGGATTCCTCTGGCTTCCTAATGCCCAGCTCACAGTATGACGGACGGAGGAAACGTTTGACGTACTTTAAATAAAGATTAATCACGGAGTAAATGGATGTGCAGAGTGTCTGTGCGCGTGCGCCAGAGGGTAGGACGTGGGAAGCTTTCGGCTGTTTGGTTTAGTCAGTTGCCAGAGTCAAGAGTGGGAGGGGTTCCCCAGTCTCACCCTGCCATTGGCCAGGATAGTCCGCATTGGTCTGAAGCAATGCCTCTACGCCCGATGTAGCCTGCTCCCTGCCAGCCCAAGCCCCAGCAACAGCGAAGTTGTAGGCTACTGCGTAGGTTAGGCGTTTTCGTGCGTGCTTATGGGGAGACTGGCCGCTGGCACCCGGAGGAACAAAAGACTCAAAGCGACACTTTGAATTTGCTCTGAATTTTATTAGGATTACCAGGGTTCACAGGGAAATAGGTGGGCCTTCTGGGGGAGGAGAGCAGGAATACCGCAATGGTAAAGCGGCCTTGCAAAGACACTGAGGCAGCTAGCGGGCACGACTGGAAAAGGAGCGGGATGGAGGGGGAACAAGGGGAGAGAGGGAGAGAACTTGGGAGAACAGGGTGGCAGCAGTGCCTCCATGGGCACTGCGTGGCTGTGACGAAGGCCACAGTGGCCCTCCCTGCTTTGGGATCAGGGTGTCCACTCCATACAGCACAGGGAGAGGGCTGGGGCCAACACTGATGAGAGGAGGATATAGCAGCCCTGACCAAGGCATCACAATAAATACATTAAGCAGCACACAGAAGCCTGTGGGGGAGGGTCTAAAGGGGTTATCCTCCTTTATATCCCCACAAAATAAGACTCTGCAATTACTAAACCATAAAAATAAACTTTAAACCCGTGTACGAAGTCAGTCACCCCCCAGAAGTGCAATGTGGGGCCGCGTGGCCCTAGCTGAGGGGGTGGGTAAATGGGGTAGGGGTTGGGGGATACAGAGAGGCAATCCCCTCGAGGGTAAGATGTTTATTGAGGGTAATATGTTTATCCGGTTTTCCCCCTCTTCCCAGGGTTGGCCCAAACATTTGGAACCTGCAGCACCTCTTCCAGGTCTGAGTCTTCGGAATCTTCTCCATCCCAGTCATCTTCAATTCCTTCCTCTACATAGCCTCCTTCCTCATAGAAGTCCTCACCTTCTTGCTCACTGCCTGCACAGGGCAGAGAGAGGCAAGGAAAGAGAAATGAAGAGGGCAATTACATGGGCAAGTAGATGTCACAGTTCAAAAGAACACAGCCCATAGCCAGGGCGTTTGGGGCCTGAGACCGCTTGTCAAGTGTGTCTGCTTGGAACAAGCAGCCAAGTGTATATGTGTGTGTGAACTCAAGACCAGAGTGAGGGGGGTGGGAGGCTGGAAGGCAGGGTGGGCTCCCTGCCTCCAGCCTGTCAAAATGGATACATCTTTGAAAGTAGTTTTTTACCCCCTCTATATACGTCAATGTGTTCCTGAGCTCCAACCTCAGCTGAATAAACCTTCTATTCATCTCTAGGCAGCTCCTTTCCCTCACTCTGATCCAAACAGGCCCCAATCTGTCTTCTTCAGCCCAGTTACCCACCCCTACTCCCACCCCAGGGCTGAGCAGGCAGCTTTGCTTCCCCTTCTCTGAAAGAAGAAATGCCATCAGGTGGGAAGGAAAGAGGGACTGACAACTCCCTTAGTTTCCAAGCCTTTTCTGACAATATGTCTAGATTGAAGGTGCTCACTCATTCAGTGCCTCCTTCCTTGGTGCCCTGCCCATACAACACTCAACAGAATTTTGCCAGAGACCCCATGCCCCAAAACCCCGGGAGTGGTTTTCCTGTCCATTCTACCTCCCCCAGGGGCCCACCTCTCCTGTCTAACTACAGCCAGGCTCAAACACCTTCTTTTGCCAGCCAGCCAAGGCAGGACCAAACCAGGAAGTCACCTTAGAATTAGATATTGCCATCTCACTCAAACTCTGGTACGCAAACCCTTCCTCTGTATTTCACAAAATGCATTCTTTGGTAGGCAGTGAACAATGGTTTCTGTGGTCAAGAAGTATGGAAAATGCTGGGTATGAAGTTAAATAGGGTTTGTTTTTTTTTTTTTTTTTACAGCAGGAATTCTCAGAGCCTTTAAGGTTCTAATGTATATGATGCTCTGCAAGAGTATGATGTAATATGTAGTTATTTCCCCAACATATTTGACCACTGACCCTTTTGTGAGAAGCAACTTTCAGAACAGGTGATAGAGTCTTAAGAGACAATTTTGGAAACCCTACCTAATACATCATGCATTTTCACCCTTCCAGTCTATGTTCACATGATCCCTAACACTGAGAATGTTCCATAATGCTCCTCAGTGTGAATGTAGCCTCCATTTCAAATGTCACCTTTCTCTAGCTCTCCCCTTCCCTACCCTTGAGGTAGAATTAGCTGCACCTTCCTTTAGGTTCACAGAGCACAATGTTCACTTCATGCTAGTTCCTCAAACAAGCCTGGGAATTCCCAGAGGTCTAAGGCTGGGTACAGAGTGTGCTGAATTGCAATGTATTTTGCCATTCCACCACCTCTGTGTGAACCCGTCCTTTTTAGTTTTCTACCCAGTGTCTCCTATCTCTTTGTCTACTCTTCATTTTTCTTTGGCTCTGTTACAACCTATCCATCCATCACCTAGAACTAAAATGTTTCTTTGGTTTTGTTATATTTGTAAGCTAAATGTTCCCTGGCCTCCCTTTGTTTAAAAAGTTGCACAGAATGCTTTTTATTTCTTCCATAAAAGCAGATTGTGTTCATGCCTTGATATCCTGACCCTGGTCAGGCCTTCTGAGAGAATAGAAAGGAGGGGAAAAAAGAGGGGTTCTAGCTCACCTTCTTCCTCCTCTTCTTCCCCCACTGATTCTTCTGTGATGATCTCTACCTCGTCCTCATAGTCATCTTGGTTGATGCTGTAATCTTGATCCTTGTCAAAGTCTTCGATGTTATTCTCATAATACTCAATGTCTCTGTCATCATCATCACTGCCTTCATTGTCACCTTCATTGCCATCATCATCACTGCCTTCATTGTCACCTTCATTGCCATCATTATCTTCATCATCACTGCCCTCATCTCCTTCATTGTCACTGTCACTGCTGTCCTGGTTGTTGTCATTGCTGCCTTGGTTGCCACCTCTGAAGTTCTTGCTGTCATCATCAACATTCTCATTTTTGTTATCAGGATTCTCATCATTAGTGTTCTTGTTATTGTCTTTGGGGTTCTCACTGTTGTTACTGGCACTCTCATTGTTGTCAACGGTCTCATCATCAGTGCTCTCATTATCAGTGGCCTTGTTGTCAAGGACCTCATTGTGGTCAGGGCTCTCGCTGTCCCAGACATTCTCATTGATGTCAGTTATCTCATTGTCAGTGGTCTCAAAGTAGTCAGTAGTCTCCATGAAGTCAGAGATCTTGATGTCATGAATGGTATCATCAATGTCTGAGATCTCACTGAAAATGTCTTCCACTGCATAATAGTCATAAGCATCTTCCATGATCACCACTTCACATTCATCCTTGGTTTTACTGTAGGAAAGCCTGGGGCTAAGTATGGAGTTGATGGGAAGGGATATACCTATGGCACTGAAAGGTGCTAAGTAACTGGGGAGGGAGAAGACTATAATGGTTCCCAGGGGGAAAGGCTAGGGTAGGAAAGGTCTTATTTCTGACCCTGATTGTATAACCTCAGGTCATGGGTTATAAAATATATTGCACTGGATTGGCTTTATAAATCCTGTGTCACATTAGTCTAGTCTTTGCCCCAACCCTAGCAAACTATCTCTCAGCCACTAAAACCCCATCACCTTTTCTTCTCTTCTTTCTTCTTCCTATTTGTCCTGTAGCCTCCTTCTCTCATCATGTAGTAGCGTAAAGGGTTGACCCACAGGTCATTCTTGATAATCTGTTGAAAGAGAAGGGAGAAAGGAGAATAGAGCCATAAATACAAGCCCCAGACCAGACCCTATTTTCAATTCCCTAGGCACCCAGAGACAAGGCTAGGAAGGCCTTCTCTGGTGATTCAAGGAAGGGCCCCACCTCAGCAATCCTGTCAGCCTCTGGAAGGCTGTGGTTTGAGAACCAGCTGAAAAAGCTGTGGCTGGCATCCTGGTTCCCATGCCTGTGAGCCTGGGGTTCCTGCCCCCGGTGCCAGCGGATTGGGGTAGAGTGAGACACCAGGCGGCCTGGTAGAAGAAGAGACTGTGAAGAGGGGACTGAACAAGAATAGATTGGGGTGAGGCACAGATTTACCCTGGGACTGCCACTTACCCGAGCGGTTGCGCTGGAACTCCTTGACAATCACCATGTTTGTGAAGTAGGGGTTTGTCTGGAAGTACAGCTTCATTTTGTAGCCCATGGAGATATGTCTGAGATCCTGTACCTGCTCAAGTTGGGGGTAATGGTGGAATCTATTCCCCCCACCCCATGGCCTTTCCCCCTCACCTCCAAGGACCAGATTCCTTGCCTGGTCCTACTAAAAAACATCTCTTTGGCCTGACCTGCAGATTGGTCAAGTAGCGGAAAATGTCTTCATCACGTTGGTTGATCAAGATTGAAATTCTGGGGTGGTTGAGGAACTGATGAGTGGAGCAGTTTAGGTCAAGGATTGACTATTCAGTGAAAGGAAGGGAGGGAAGATCAGGCAGTGCAGAACAAAAGAGAAGCTGGAACAGGATTCCTTCTGTTTCATGTGATATGTAAGCAGCAAGTGGGTCATGGAATATGACCCATGCTTTTATTCCCATGATAAACCCCTGTGTTAGTTGGCTTTGCTTGGGTGCTGAGGGTCTATGTCCATGTGATTCTTAACTCTGGGTAAGTGAGGGTTTGTGTTCATAAAATGCTATATGTCTTGGCACTGAAGGCCTGTATACAAGTGATGTTGTATCTGGTTGCTGAGGGTCTGTGGTCACATGATATTGTATGTGTGGGGGTAGAAAGCTGTGTCCACATATTATTGTGTGAATCGCTCTGAGAGCTTGTGTAAAGTAAGTCTGCATGCTGAGGACCTGTGGCCACGTAATACTGTTTGCGTGCAGAGGACCTGTGTCTGTCTACATGATAGTGCATTTCTGGGTGTTGACAGCCTGTTACCATGTGCTTATTTATATGAGGATGCCAAGGGTCTGTATCCATGTAATTCTGTTAAGATGTTAAACTCATGTGTTCCTAACATGTAACATGTACGTATGTGAGCTTAACAATCAGCATTAGTGAACGGGTTTCTTCCTGCTCTCCCCTTTCCTTCATTTAACTCCTTAAGCTCCATGCCCTGATACTCCCTCTCCTGATCCTTCACAGGCTTGAGCCCCTCTCTAACCTCCTTTCCCTCAAAATGGCATTCAGCTAGGATTGGGGGTCTCCTAATGTCTAAGCAGAGATTTAGGCTTACAGTGGCCTGTGTGGCTTAGGCGTCCTTTCTGGGCAGTTTCTCTGCTGTGTACCATTCCCCCCTCTCTTCCTGTCTTGGAGTCAGTTTATCTTCTGTGTGCTCCCCTCTTCCTCCTTTCACCTTTTCTGGTTCAATTTGTCTGCAGTGTGACCCCCTACTACCCTCCCCCTTTAAATGTCTGTGATCCATTTTTTATTTTATGCTCTTCCTCTTCCCCCTTTCCCATCTGTGGTCTAGTTTATGCACTATGTGTCCTCCTCGTCCCTTCATCATCTCCAGTCCAGTTTCTCTTCTGTTTTGCCCTCTTCCTTCCATCCCTCCTCCACCCAGTCTAGTCAGTCTTCCCATAGGGGGCTCACCCCCATCTTTGGCCCTCTCCCACACCTTTCACCCTTTCTTTTCCTTCTCCCACTCCCCATTTCTGTCATGGGCTTTTGGCCCATGAATATCGATGAGAAGGATACTGCTTTGACCCAGAAGCCCGGGATATGCTGGATAATAAGGTCTCTGCGCTCCAAGAAGGGTCTTCGCATCTGGATGAACTTGCGCTTAAGACGCAGGAAGGCCTTGCCTGCCTTAATGTTAACAGCCTCCAGGTCCAGTTGAATATTCTCCAGTGCCTGCAGGATGCTCTCCATTCTCTCGGCATTCCTCTCTTTGCTCTCTTTCTTCATCTTCCTCTGCTTCCTCCTCCTCCTCCTCCTCCTCCTCCTCCTGCTGCTGCTGCTCCTCAAACCTTCCAGTTCATCCTCATCCTCATCTTCCACTAGGATGACAGCCTCTTCCCTGCTCTTTGGACCAACTAACCTCTGGGGCCCCCACCCCCCTGCGCTACAGGTTTCTAGGGCCTTCTCTCCTTCAGAGCTGCTGGGTTCGGTAACCTGAAAGTCGATTTCCAGGCTTCCCCCAGAGACCTCAGAAGGAGTAAGTGTATCCAGGCTCCCGGTGGGAGGGGGCGCCTCCCCATACCCTGACTCGATCGTAGACTCCCAGTCGGGACCCCCAGCACCCAGGGTGAAGTACGCGCGGATGCCCCCCTCCTCGAGAATGACATAGGGCGGTGGGGGGGGCAGCGCGAGGCCCAGTCCCACCCCCCTCATGTCAGCCAGCACCTGTGCCGCCTCGGTTTCCTCCTGGAGCCTCGGGCGCTGCTGGGGTGGAGGCAGGGGCAGTCGCACGAGCGGTGGTGGTGGTGGCGGCGGGTCGCGCTGAGGAAGCTCGGAGCTGCTCAGGCGGCGGGTCTTGGCCGGAGGCCCCTCATCCGAGCGGTCCATGGTGACCGCACTCACGCAGCTCAGGGGATCTTAATGGCCCCTTAGCTCTCAGCTGCACCACTGCTGCCAGTCACACTCAAAGCGGAGCCGCCGTGGCTAACGCGACTATTCTCTTCACTACCTCGCTCTGGTGTTCCCTCCCACACCGCCTGCCCTACTCCCTCTGCGCCTAGCCCCAAGGCCCCGCCCACTCCTTGACGCCCAGGGCCCGCTTTGCCTAGCCATTGGCTGCCGAGTGCCGCGAGGCCACTCGCCCTCCTCCGACCCCTGCCCTCCCTCGCGCAATCTGCTTGCCAACACTACACGTCATCACTTTCTGATTGGCTCTCCTCAGACCCACCAATCAACTGGCTGACTCCCAGGGATGAGACTGGGCGATTGACAGCTAGAAAAACTGAGGGGAAGAACCCCTTTTCTCTCACCCTTGCAATGTTTTATCCAATGGGAAAAGTACCAGTGTTTCTGAAGACCAAGAAACAAGACGAAAAACAAACGCAGGCGCTGAGCAGGATGTGCTGACATAAAATAGAGCCTCGCTATCATTTCCCCCGCCCCCCTTCCCTCAGCAACTACGCACTTTTTAAATCTGCCCCTTCCCCCATCTCCTGCTTCTGCCCTTGGGGCGAACTCAACTATACCCCAGCGGGGCTGTGCGCGCCTGCAATTCAGGCACTTACTGCGTTCCGTTTGGGGGTAGGTTTTGATGTGGCGTTTTCGGTCTCTGTAAAATGGTTCTAGGAATAATCACTTTTTAATGACTTCTCTGCGTCATCAAAAAGATTGTGATTCAGTTCATCTGCTAGATTTTTCTAGGACCTTTTGTCTCCGGGTACTGAACATTTCTCCTTTCCATTTTCTATCCTTTTCCCTCTTCCTATCCGAAGTGTATGCTGTTCTTAATCGTATTTTAAGATTTTTTTTTTTTAAAAACCAAGATGGATGGTCTTTTATGAGGCACAGTGGTGGAGTTCTGGCTTTGGTTCTGTGATTCACATCACGGGCATGCCAATCACTTTGTAACTCTAATCAAATCACTGCCCCTCTCTGAGCTTCAGTTTCTTCTCCAAATTAGGCATTCCTAAAGAGAGGTATGGTTAACTGATTGCAGCCTTTTGTGGAGGCAACCTAGGGACCCATCACCAGGGGAATGGATAGGAAAAATATGATACATATTTAAGATGGACCACTTGAATGAATTCTATCTATATACGGCAACATGGCTGGATCTCTCAAAAACAGGATGTTGAGTGAAAGAAGAAACAGAGCAAGATTTATAGCACAATACTGTTTATGTAAATTAAAACACAATACCATATATTTTTCACAGATACACATATATGTAAATAAACACATGAATGGTGAATAGGAAGGACATACATTAAATACACAAGAGTGGGTGCCTATGTGGTAGGGGATGGGATCAGGGATGGGTGATGAAGGGGACAAAATAAAAGGGCCTCGGATGGATCAATGATGATACAATGTGCCAAGAACTGAGGAGTGTGGTCAACTCAATTCTGTGCATCTGAGAGAATAAATAGATAGATAGTAAATTAATTGAATGCCTAGGGAGCAGACCAGCTGGTAGGACTCCCAAGCTTGGGTGTTTTCTTCCCCCTCCCACCCCTGGGATGCTCCTGCCTCTGATTTTGGTCAAAGCTGACTGAAGTCCCAGCTGTATACAGTGGACCCTTATGAAGGGCTCACATCCCAGCCTGAGCAATCCCTCCAGCAGCCATTACTTTGTGGGAGACATTTTCTAACCCATCAGTTCCCCCCACATTTGATCTCTGTGGTGTTGAATTTCAAGAACATCTTGTTTGGGTTTGGGAAGGAGACTGAGACCTGCATTAGGAATGGTGGCTGGGGCTCCCAGCCTTGGGAGGAGATAAAGTTCTCAAGTAATCTGCTCCCCATCCCTACTCAGAGCCTAGGCCAAGGCAGCAATCTTAGGAGATAGGAGTCAACCCTCTTGCTACATATATACCTACCATTTCCAAGTTCCATCTCCTGACCACTGCTCTACTTTCTGCTGCAGGCACATGTTCGCATTTGTCTTCTCTAAACTAGGTGTGTGTGTGTGTGTGCACGCGCGCGTGGGCTGTATGTCTCCACATAGAGGCATTTGCTCACATTTGCACCAGGCAAGTTTTCCTCAGTGGTGCTTCCCCACACAAAGTTACACAGACATACGCTATCTCATTCAGTCATACCTCTGCACATGTTGCCAAAAAGAGTGTGTATGTGTGCACGCACACACACACAGTCAGAAAAAGAAAACATCCAATATAGCATTGTTCATTTCAGTTTTTCCATTTACAAAATCCAATGGTGAATCCAGGCAGTTAGAAAAAAGAAACAGAGAAAAACCCTTCTGAATGTACCCTATCTGCCCCCCACCCTCTTGGTCTTCCCACCCTACCCCCTCAGAAAGGCATCCCCATCACTATCACTGAGAGAACAGGTCACCCCCTTGACCTCTCAGCCACTCTGGCCTGCCTTTCCAAGGCCACTCCATAGCTAGGCTCATTAATGTCTCTCCTGCCTAGAATGCCCTCCCCATTCTTTTTGGGTCAGGTTTCCCCAGTTCTGGATCTGTCTTAGAGTAGGGAGGGAGCTTGGGACATGGGCTTCTATCAAGGGGAAGTGGGAGTAGATAAATACAGATTGCCCCCACCCCCAGGAAATGAGAGGGGGACAGAGAGCTGAGCAAGACCAGGCAAAGGAGTGCCAGCTTGGCTCACCAATCCACAGCAATAGCCTTGAAGTAAGCCCAGAGTGGCCTCTGTCCCAGAGAGGAAAGCTTGGGATTTCCCACCTGGAGAATCTGGCTGCAGTCTGCTCCACTTTGGGTATAGGTAAGAACAGAAGGAGAAAGGGATAGAGGGCTGTTTGGAGGAAGAATGTTTGGGGCTGAGGGCCTAGAAGGCCAAAGGCTACCAAGAAAGACCCCTGAGGCTTGAGGGGGACAAAAAGAGGTCAGATAGGAATGGACTCAAGACCACAGTGCCTTGGAGTTTGTACCACTAGCAGTTACCAAGGCCTTGAAAGAATTTTATCTTCAGAAGAGTAGTGTGAACCTAGTAGTGTAATAATTCTAGGGGTTTCAGTTCTGACTTGAGGCTCTGTGGTCCAGCTACTCTGGGGAGTCTGGTAACCCCCTACATTTCCTTGGGGGCTGCTCCTGCCTGTATGGTACCCAAATCACCCCTAGCAGGGCTGAAATGAATTTCCATCCTCAGGAAGAAGAGTTGAGGGCCATGGATCCAGAAGACAGCCCAAGAAAATGAAGCCAAGCCTTGGGTCTCTTCAGCTTGAGTTCAGCTCACATTCTGCTCTTCGCCTATCCTGGGCCCGTCCTGAGGGCCCCATCTCTCTACCCTCTTGGCTTCTCTAACAGATGCACGAGAACCACATGGGACGTCTGGACATGGTGGGAGGTGGGAAAGAGAGAGGAAATTGCATTTGGGACCGGGGTTGGCCTAAAACAACAACATTGCACACAACATAGCAATTAAACATCTTGCTCTCTGGGGACCCAGCACCCCCTTTGGTCCCTCTGATCAGCAGCCTTGGATAAATCTCTCCCTCAACATCCAGGCATTGCTAAAGGACTTGGAAAAGGAGGCTTCCTGGGAGCAGAAGGGGCAATAAGAGCTCTGGAGGTCTATTTTACAGGACAAATTTCCCCCTTCTGAATGATGTCAGAAGGAGAGACATTAAAGCAAGAAAGCCTGTCTCCTCAGTGGTTAGTAGGAAAACCTGCATTCCCAGTTTTGTTTTCTTTTTCTGAATTGTCATTTCTGAGAGAAAAAGAGTAAGGGAGAGAAAGAGAGAGAGAGAGAGAGAATATGAGATTGTAGAAGTGTAGAAGGAGACAGCAGAGGCAGGCCCTACAAAACTATAAATGCCTCTTTCCAAGTCCCCTGCCCAATCCCCCCCGGGAAGGTGGTGGCAAGGGTGCCTAGATTAAGGATGGTTTGGGGGTCTGAAGTTGGGGCTCAGAAAGGAAGGCTCCTATGTGGGGCCTCACCTCTCTCCCTTGCTATTAGCCCCATTATGGTGGCCTTGACTTTCTCCCTGCTTGTCTGCCTACCAGCTTGCTTCACATGACACAGTAGGGTTCTCTGGGAGCAGGGGCACCTCCTGTGCCCCAGCATGGGGTGTGAGTCCTCAGGCACTTCTTGAGGTCCTTGTTGAGCAGGAAGCAGACAATCGGGTTGACAGCAGCCTGGGCGAAGCTCATCCAAACAGCAGTGGCCAAGTAGCGGTGGGGCACGGTGCAGGCTTTCACAAACACTCGCCAGTAGCAGGCCACAATGTAGGGTGACCAGAGGAGCAGGAAGAGCAGTGTGATTGCGTAGAACATACGGCCCAGCTGCTTTTCACCCTTGACCTCGTCCATGCCTAGCAGCCGCCGGCTGGCTGCATGCCCATTCTGCCGGATACCCAGCAGGGTTGGTGGCATGGGCCCACGGCCAAAGCCAGCGATCCAGTTGGCAGCAGCCTGGCCTGTGGCCCCAGGGCCATGGAATGTCCAGTTCTGGCTGATGGCTGGTACCATCTGCACTGGCTTCATCTTGCGGTGACGATACTCGAAGAGGAGCAACTTGCCATAGACAGCATGTGTGGCTGCCATAAGCACAGCCAACATAAGCATGAAGCCCAGTGTGTCATTGGCCTTGAAGTAGCGATGCTCAAAGATGCATTGGTCTTCCTCCTGGATAAACTTGTAGGTGCCCACATCGAAGACAGGTGGGAAGGCCATGGCCACAGACAGGGTCCAGGCCATGCAGATGACAGCTGCACATGTCCAGAGTGTCATGCGCTTGGCATAGAAGCGGTGGTGGGCAATGGCCATGTAGCGGGTGACACTGATGCAGAACAGCATAAAGGCCGCATGGAAACAAAAGAGCACAGCCATAAAGGCCACAATCTTACAGCTGAGTGCACTGAAGGTCCACGAGGAGCCGTGACGCACAGAAGCCAGCACAAAAGGGAAGCAGACGGCAGAGCGTATGCCATCAGCCAGGCACAAGTCCAACAGAAAGTAGTAAGGAGCCTTGTGCAGGGCACGCTCCTTGAGCACCAGCAGGGACAAGATAGTGTTGCCTGCCAGGCTCACACACATGATCAGTCCCAGCAGCACTAGCTTCACATAAGCCGATGCTGATGGTGGGGACAGTGAACCGCTCACCTCCTCGGGCTCTCCGGTGGTGTTGGCCATAGTGAGGGGTAAGGGCTACTGCCAACCCTATGGGGTCAGCCAGTCTGGTACGCGATGGGCCTCGGTGGGCTCCATCAGTTGTCCTGCTGTGCTGTACCTGCAAATGGGACAATGGGGGAAACACAGACACAGAGAGATAGAGAGATGAAGGCAGGAGAGAGAGAGAAAAAGAGAGAGAGAGAGAGAGAGCAAGCACAAAGACAGCGTAGGAGAGAAACAGAATAAAGAGAATAAAGAGAAAAATATCAACAAGGACATAAATGGATAGAAATTGATACAGAAATGGAGGAGATGAGAAAGAGTAAGGAGAGAGGAGAGAAAGACCGAGAGAGACCAAGAGACAGGAGAGACAGCAGATGGAAAGGAAAGGTGAGGAAGAAACAGAAAGGGCAGGGTTAGTGTGTCTATGAGCCCTCCCCACTTACTCCCCTACTGGTGTCAGGCCCTGCTGCACCTACTCCCTTCTTGCTGGGTGAGGATGCTTCATCTCTCTGGATGTCCTTGGTTACTTGTTTCTTCTGTTGGTGGGTCTGTGGGGCAGGGATGTTGCTGCAAGCTCTTCTACCCCTTTGCAAAACTTTAAGGTTGTGTTCAGACTTTTGTGACTGCTACCCATAGTAAAGTACATTTTATATTACAACCCAGTATATACACATGCATGTGCACACACAGCTCAACCAAAAGTTTAACAAAACAGTACTGATCCTATGTTTAATGTACCCCATTTATTTCTATTCTCTTTTGTGTTTTCTTAAAATGCTTGTAGCCACTCATTAAATAGACTCATTTATTTATGATCAGGAATGTGCTTAACATGCTTAAGGAACATTGGGAAAACTAGTGTGGCCAGAACAGTCTGAGTGAGGGAAGATAGTGGTAGAGGTTGCAGAAGTGTCCAGGGCTGTGGGCCATGATGAAGGTTTTGGTTTTTATTTTAGGTGAAGCAAGAGTATGTATGAATATAAAGATTTAGGTACGTCTGTGCATATTCATTCATACACTGAAATAATATCTATCAAGCATTTACTGTGTACCAGGCACTGTTCTAGGAACTGAGGATACAGCTGTGAGCCATACAAATAAAGATCCTGGCTTTTGTGGCGCTGACTAGGGGAAGTATAGTCCATTGGATGATAACAAGTTCCTAATAATAAACATCAATGAGGGAAGGAGATAGAAAATGCTAGGGGTGGGGAAGGTGTTGCAGATTTAGATGAGGTGGACAGGGAAAGCTTTGTGGAAGAAGTGTCATCTGAGCAAAGACCTGAAGGCGGTGACAGAGTGAGTCATGTAGATATCTGGGGGAAGAGAAGTTCATGCAGGGGAACAGCCAGAGCCAAGGCGCTGAGGTGAGACTATGTATGTCACATTCGAGGAAGACCAAGGAGGCTGCAGTGGGTAGAACAGAGTGAGTGAAGGAAATGTGGTGCGAGGTAAGGTGGCAAGGTCAGATCATGGAGACCATGGTAAGGACTTGGACTGTTCTTCTGAATGAGATGGGGGTCATGGGAGGATTCTGAGCAGAGGCCAGACGTGATATGATTTGAACACGTGCATTGAACACGATTAAATTCACTGCTGTGAAAATGGGTCATATGGGTCACAGGTGGCAGGAGACAACTCAGGAATATCCTACAGCAATCTAGATGAGAGACAATAGCATTATTATGCTCCTTTCTCTCTTTTATTTTTCTTCCTGGAATTTCTCTTTTCTAATGTACAATATTACTTACTTTTAAAATTTGGTTTATTGCCTGCCTCATCCTAATAGAGCAAAAGCTCCACAAGAGTAGGGATTATGGACTTGTGCTCCTCTGGAAAAACACCACATAGCACATGGATGGTAGGCGCTCAGTTGAATTAATTGATTGAGGTACTAAATGGGCGGGGGTGGGGGTGGGGGTTAGAGAGGGCTCCTTGGAGATATCCAGACAGGATTTTCTGGAAGAGGGATCTGAGGAGTGCATCTGGCTGTGAAAGATGTGTGGCAAAGCTTGGTGGGGGGGAGAACAGGACAGCTCTAGGAATGTTGGGGATGTGATAAGGTAATATGGCAGGTCCTAGAGGGAAGGCAGTAAAGCAACTAGAGCAGAAGCCAGAGAAACTTAGGATCACTGTTGGGGCTGGGGCTGGGGCTGGGGCAGTGGCTTGGCTGGGGCCCCAGTAGGTAGAACTTGTGCAAACATTTTCCTACTCCCTTTCTCCCTCCCCTCTGTATTGTTTCCCAGCTTAATTCAACCTGGCCTGCCACTGCTAGGCTTTTAATTGCACCCTGAAGTCCCAGAGACTGTGCCAATAAGCCACAAGAGAGTGGTAGGGCCGGGGCCGAGAAGAAGTGGGGGTGGTGAACCCTCTATTAGCCTCTTAAGGCCTGATAGCATTCTCAGAACTGTGGACCAGCCCATGAGGGGACACACACACACACACACACACGCACACACACACACCCCTTTTCCTGGAGGGGAAGCAGGGTAAGGGGGGAAGGGATAGAAACAGACTGAATTTAAGAGACACACACACACAGTGACAGAGGAGAGAGGTATGTGTATGAGAGACAGACGAAGACATAGGCGGGAGATGGAAAGACAGAGAAACAGAGAAAGGGGAAACAGCCTTACACACAGAGAGGGAGAGGGAGAGAAATGGAAACAGAAAGGGGAAGAAGATATAAAATGAGTGAGAAAAAACAAATCTACATACATAAAAACAGCACAACAGACAGAGAAGGGACAGAAAATAGCAATAGAGAGAGAAAAAAAGAGAGGTGTGAGTAAGAGGGATGATGCCAGGGAAGAAAGAATGATAGAGATAGGGAGAGAGAGAGGGTCGGGAGGAGCATGAGAGATGGTTGCTGCGGAGAAAAAGAGATAGAACAGAAGTAAAGATGGAGAGAGGCAGACACAGAGAGACACACTAAGACAGAGGTGAATAACATGTAGCCCAGAGTCTCAGTGAAAAACTAAAAAAGCAAAGGAACAAATACCAGCAAACAAAATCCTGGTGTCATTAGGAAAGCTAGAGAGTGTCTACAAGCAAGTCAGGCGAGGTCCTCCTCATGGACGGGGAGTGGGGGGTGGAGGATGTGGGGGGAGGCTGTAGGGGTGGGTGGCGCAGCGTCCCAGCTGCAGCTGAGGATGTGTGCGCACACATACAGCACGCACAGCTTCTCGTGCCCCTGCACGCCCCTTGAACCTACACACACAGCCTACTGACGTGGAGACCCACGGCCAGCAACCAGCTCGCATGTAGGGAACACACAGGGAGGCAAAGGTACATCTTGTACTCTGCCGCATTCACACAGGTACACAAACGGTGTACTCTACCTAAATCCCAGCTTCGTCCTGAATAAAGGCGTTACTGCCCCCTAGGGGACATTTTTGAAATCTGTAGGAGCATTTTTAGTTGCTACAATAAGGGGTGTAGGGTGTCCTAACATTTATGGGTCCAGGGAAAGGAGGCAGGTGGTCCAGCCACTTACAGGGCGGTCTCACTCAGCCCACATAGGTCCCGAATCGCTTAGGACTTGGACATGTAACTAACTGAACCTAGAATCTATCTTTATTACACAGATAAACTTTTTTTTTTTTTTTTTGAGAGAGAGAGCCTCAAGCTGTCCCCCCTGGTAGAGTACTGTGGCATCACAGCTCACAGCAACCTCCAACTCCTGGGCTCAAGCGAGTCTCCTGCCTCAGCCTCCCAAGTAGCTGGGACCACAG